GGCTGTTTGCACCTACATGCTAGAATATGGTTCTCATATACTGGTGCAAGAGAAAATTTGACTTGGTTATTCAATGATAAAGTTTGCAATTCACATTATGTGTTGTCCAATTACACAGTTGTATTTGTCAGTCAGTTGTATTTGGGAACAGGAAAAAACACTACATTAATTCTATATCTGGCCTTTCCCCCATCAGCTCTTGCTTTTGTCCAGTGCACAAAAGGAAGATTCATGTGAGGTCAAGCAGCAGAACAGCCCTCAGCCACCACTGCTTTCTCTTTGCTTGGAAGACCTTGATTTTGCTGGCTCAGCCTTGGAGCTATTGGCTTTTGCTTCCAAGAGGAGCAGGTAACACCAAAAGCCATCCATGGGGAGCAGAGGTATCTGACCTTGCCTGCTTCCTGACTTTCTTTAATCAAATATTAATTGGCTGCAGTCACTTCACTACTCACAAACAGTATCTTGCAGAAGTGAAAAAAAGTGAATCTTTCACGCTTTGGGGATGCTTTTCCATGCTTTTGAAATAAAAACTGATCTGATTGCGTGAAAGCTTCCAGGCACGAAAAAATGTATTGGTAATAATAATTATTATTTACAGAAACGACATAACTCAGATTTACTTGACTAAGTTCCTTTCATCATATAACAATTAAAAAACTCAATTGCAGTATTCAAACAGAAATTTTTGGAGCAAAAATATCAGATCCTGCATAGTTTAGAGCTAAGAAATCTACTATTTACTGATGAAGTTCAGAGGAAAAACCCACCTAGTTTTCATGAGATATACTAAAGCTTTGAAACCCTGGGTAAGCTTAATTTTGGAATGCTTTTCTTTCATCATTCCCAGAGTCTGAGACTCAAGTAAGTAACTTAGAAATCTACCTGGAAATTCAGTGTCAGAAAGAGCCTTTTCTTCAAAACTAAAGCTACAAAAGGAAACATTTCCCGACAAAGCTGCACCAATTTCAAATCAACCACATTCATGACTCATACTTCATCTTCATAAACTTTAAAATTATGTACTCTGCAGTTATGAAAACCTGTGAACAGCAATTTGAGGTTGAAATATTTTCTGAAAGTGTATTGCAAGATTTTAAATTCTTTTAGTTGTCAGTCATTCAGACACAAGAAATGATACAACTCATTTGGGAAACAAGACTGTGGTTTCTTCAAATGAATTTCATGCACTGAGTGCTCTTTTTATATAGGAAAGGAACATTAGACCTTCTCATCCATCACACCCAATAGGGCTGGTAGTTAAATGATATAATTCATACACTAAACAATGTAGATTCTTGATCAAGCTTGCCAAGACCTATTCCTGCAACTTAAAAATGTTCCCTTGATTCTCCTTAGAAATTTAAACAACACTTGGCATATCTGAATATCTTTCCTTCTGCCTATTGACCTTATATTCCCCTTATCAAGATAACAGAATTTCCTTAGAAGTTGCCTTGGGCATTTCTGCAAGGTCAAAAGCACACAATGCAGAGACAGGGATAAACCTGCTTTGAATTACTGCATCCACTCATGCTCCAGTGCTTCTGCAACCCTGATGGCAACAAACGAAGTGTGGTGTGCTGGGAGTACAGCACTTTGAAAGCACAGAACGGATATGGTCAGAAAGAGCCCTGACAGGTTGTTAAACATTTACCACCCTGCCTGAGCACGTCCACCACTACCACAGCCCAAGCAGCAGTCACAGAACAACAGGGGAAGTTGACAGAACCACATTATTGCAACCACAAATTCACACCTGCCAAGAGACACCCCAGTCACTGCACTGCGTTGGTGTTTTGAGAGAATGAACAGCACATTCAAGGCAAGAATCTCCCCATTTGCCAGGAGCTTCTGAAGAACTGAAACCATTTGTTTCTCACCTGAAGTTATTCAGGGTGGGTTTTTTGGAAGCTTCATTTGGTCTAAAAATAAGTTCTGCTTTATGAGGACTCCACTTACCATTGCAAAGAGGTACCTGAGAGCCACCAGCAGACAAGGTTCTGTGCCTTAAATAATTTCTGTCCCTTTGACACAGTTTCTAGTCATTTTTTGTCGAAATTATAGTCTTGTTCATTTTACAGTATTAAATCAAAGGGCATACACACTCTGGAAGGGCAGCTAACCTCAGGGCAGTTTACAGCTCAACCTCTGTCTCTGGGTAGCCAAGCTGAAAATCAGCAGCTATCATGGAAGCATATTGTAAAGCTGGGATACTGCTGTGAATTATGAAGCATATCAAGTGTTTGGATAAATCAAAGATTCCTAAATGGGTCTAAAACAGCAAAGAGTAAAAGCATTAGGGCTTGTCTTCTTTTCCAAAATCTTCCATTAGTACCGTTACAGAGACCTGTTTTCTACCTCTCAGACACTGATTCAAAATTCCATTTAAGAAAATGAAGAACATGATCCTGCCATCTCCTCAAAGATTTAACTTTATGGTAGAAAGATTTTATTGTTGTTACTTGCCATTAAAGGTAATAATTCTGGTGCAGTTTTCTTTTGCTTGCATTCGTACTATTTTATTAATGTCTCCATAGTAGCAGTTAGCATTGCAAAAGGAATTCCAATTTTCAACATGATTATTAGTCTCCATTTTTATCCTCAAAGCTGGGATGTTTTCGAAGGAGCTCAGAGAGGAGGAAGGAATAAGACTCAGACACCACAGTCCATTGTTACCTCTGAGCACATACACTTAGATTGCTTTTCTTTGATGCTGCTGCCAATTTTATTCACAAGCGTATAAAAAAAAAGGTCATGACATTTAGAATTACACTACTTTGGAAATTAAATGTTCCTTTAAATTTTTAATTTCTGAAAGTAATTTATCATGGAATAATATTTGAATATGGTTGAATGAATGTGTAAAGATTAATGCAAACTTTCTTCAAACTGCAAGTTCACAACCACATATGTTTAACCTTGTTGTGTAATAGGCATAAAAACGTTGACATGTGAGCTTGAAGAGCTGCATTTCCATTTTGCTGGAAGCACTTGTACTGTTACTCTCCTTAGCATTTTTCCACTGGCATGTCTGTATATGGCATTAGGTTTAGCTCTCAATCATTTCCTACTTAACATTACACTTCACAAACCTGGCAACTAAATAAGGGCCAAAAATGAATCTCAATGGACTGCAGAGTTTTTTTCACATGAATTTTAATGTGAGAAATCAAACTGCTGATTTTTAGGCTAATTCAGCAATATTAATGATATTATTATAGCATATGAGGAAATAAAATCATTTTGTGTAAACACTAGAGAAAGGACTGAGATACCACATAACCTACACTCTAGTCAGAAGCTCCTAAGTCAGAGATTTGGGGATCTGATGAAGAGGAGATCACTGAAGCACAGTCGTGGCCAGGTGTTGGGAGTCCCTTGTCAAGGAATGGAATTGCCCATCTCGCACACGGGCTCCTCAGATGGTTTAGGTTGGAGCTTTCAGATCACTGAACCCAGCTGTGAACCCAGCACTGCTGTCACCTTGGCCACTGCTCAGGGCTTATTTCTCCAAAGCCAGCTGACACTCCTTGTTCAGCAGAAAAAGGAATCTTACTCAAGGCAGCAGCACACTCTGGAATTTATTTTGTGGCCAGAAGCTACAGTTCATAATTTTCTCATACCCTACGGAAAGCTGGCTGGGCCCCAGGCTGCAACGGGCAGACACAAACAACTCCAAATTCCTGCTCGGATGCTGCTAAAATTGTACCTGCATGAAATTTATGCTGGTGTGTAGAATTTACTCATGTTTGCTCATGGAAACTTGTGGGAACCCTTTGTTAGAAGACTGACAAACTCTGAAATATTCAGTTTGAGGCTCCATTGCATTCACTGGGTCAACTGAAGGGACAATGTCTGAAGGAAGGAGACTGAGGAAGATAAAGGAAGTCTTTAATTGAAATGTTACTGGCACATTCAAAGATCCAGAAGAAAAGCAAATTAAAAAGCGCCTCTGTTACTGATCATTTGATTCTCAATTCCAAATACTTTTGTGTACATTTCAGTACCTAATAATAATAATAATAATAACAACAATAATAATAATAATAATATCATCTTTGTCACTAGGGCAATGGCGGGAGTGTTGCTATTTCAAGTTTGGCCTCTTGAAAAGCCCTCAGGAAAGTTGCTCACCAGATCACTCAATTCATTAAATTAATGCTTTGTTGGCTGGAGTTAAAGTTTGAGTCGGGCAAAACAAAAGCCTGGGTTTCAGAATACATATACCCTGTCAAATTGCATTTATCAAGATAAGGGTTATTAGAATCTTTTTTCTCTTGTGTGAATGAAATTGTAAGCTTAAAATGTCACTGAAGATTTATTAATCTGATACTCTTTCTGATAAGGACAAAGAAATAGAAAGGGCAGAGAAAAAGAAATATTTCTTGTAGCCTGATAAGGACTACAAGAAATAGAAAATATGAATAAGGCAATTTATCAGTGGGCATTCTGTAACCAAAAGATTCAAGCCACACAAAGCAATAGTACAGTTATATATAGATTTCAGAATGCTGCCATCTAAAACACTTGGTAAAAGTTTGAGAGCTGTGCAGAAAAATATCTGCAATTTTCAAAAAATTATATTAAACCTGAATTTTCAAACTCTAGGCTGGAGTAACACTTGCTCTAGAAAGTAGATGGAGGCCTAATGTGAAAACTGGTTCTGTGCTAGAGTATGAATGCAGGAAGAACCACCAGCAGGACCATCAGTGTTTCTAGCTGAAGTGACAGGGTGTGAACTAACCATAAGAAATATGTTTAAATTTGTTTAAATATTTTTTCCCTTTCTTATAAGACTCTCTCAAGTAGGAGTTAATTTTGCAGCAATTACAGTCTTTCAAAGCTCTGCTTGTTTAGAAAATCATTAGTTGTACCTTACCTCTTTCTCAGAACGCCTTATATAGAAAATATTCCAGTTAAGAAAAGTCTTTCTTACATTTTTCTAAGAACATAGCAGGAGCCAAACCATCTTCCATGATTTCATTAACAGCTCAACTTACCAGTCTTCTCCGTCTTGTGTTTTAAACTTTCAGGTCCCGGCAGGCAGGGGCAGGGCCCTTCACATCGAGTTGTGATGGTTTTGCCAGAAGTACATGCATGGAACTCCATTTTGCACTGGAAGTGTAAAAAAAAGCAAGAATACTATTTAGGACAAGACACAAAATAGCAGCTGTCGATTAAATGAGAAACTGTGTTATCAGTAATGACATTGGATAGATTGCAAAACTTCAGTCTCTACTGCAAATACTTTTATAAGATAACAATGACTATTCCCAGCCTTTGCTGTTTGCATTACCTACATTTTAGTTCTGACTCCTCCAAGAGCTTTGTGCCTGTGTTGTTGCCCTTTCTTCAGGGATGGCCCTGTGGGTATTTCCCCATTCTGTGCCCAGCAGCACCAGTGGCTGGACACTGGACTAATGCAGTAACAAATGAAGTGAAAGAAAACAGCACAGATACCTAATGAACCAAATTCAGCTCCATTTTTTGTCCTCTTCAAGCCCTGCTTTTACAAGACCAGAATCCAAGGGCTTTTGACACACAGGGGAGTGCTGCCTGTGGTGCCCAGGCTGGAGCTCCTCCCTGCAGAGATTGCCTCCTGCCAAGGAAAATGGGAATGCTGGGCTGCAGAGTCCCTTTGATCTGAGTTTTATTGAAGATTATGATTAATTTAAGAGCAGGCCAACATGTTTACACAGTGGGACACAGCATGTTTGACACAGCTGAAGGACACGGAGCCTGAGACCATGGTGTTACCATGGAGGATGCAGTGGGCAACTGGAGCTCACTGGGCAGCAGCCACTGCTGAAACCCACAGCATCATCCTCTGTAATTCTGGTGCAGGGGGAGCCAAGAGAACAGAGCAGGATGTTGCTGCAAGATAAACACCTCCTGCTTTGAAAGTACTGCAAATACCTTGGCTTTGCCTGTGTTGGTTTTTGTTAAAAGAGCTCATCGCTGCCCAAGCTTTAATCCAGCAGCAGGAGATCATTATGCTGTGCCTACATCCCTTTCTGCTGACATTATCCCCCCACCATCCTCAACTTCAATGCATCAGGGTGATTCTGTGCTCTCTGTGATGCCCTGCCCTTCTCATTTAGAAAATGCAGGGCCACACACAAGCTTCCAAGTGTGCAAGCTTAGCTTGTGTTGTACACCAATTTCTCTCAAGACTGAAGGGAATACATATACTTATTTTTCAGCTGTTTGCTCCATAAATACACTTTGCTCAGAGCACAAAGACAAGAGAGAGCACATCAGAAGGAAAGGAGAACAGGAGAAAGGACAACACTGAGTGCAATCCTGAAGGCAATGACTTTCTGCAGCATATTCTGATAGTCAATGTGTTATTGAGAACACAGGCATAAATCTTCTTCCTGCAGCTGGAGTTGATAATTTAATCCCTTACAGAACATCAATTACTTACATATTTTATTATGCATAGTAAATGTAAATTATGTATCTAAGCATTAGCAATTATACTTCAAATACCAACCTTTAAGATGGCACCAGCCTATTTCAAGCCCATTATTACATGCAGTTAAGAAAGGAAGAACTTTATACTTAGAAACATCAAGGCAGGTTTTTCCTCAGCTTTCCAGACAATCGATAAAAATGACATCCAGAAAGCCAAACACAAACCAAAAAAAGAAACTGCTTAAATGGGTTTTATTATCTGAGGGCAAGGAGGAGAGCCCAGCTTGAAGATCACAATGCTGCAGTCACATGTGAGTAAGTTTTTACACTCATGATTAACCACATTATATTACCACCATGCTTGTTTGGGATGTTTGGTGTTGGGGGATGAAGATTAAAGAACTCCATCATTTTAAATATTAAATTAGGATAATACTAACTACGTTTCAACACCTAATCAGTGTATGTAGCTCTTTATTCCTTCCCTAGAGGAAAACATGGAGATACCTTACTTTGCATGTGATGGCATGCTTACTCACTGTAACAACCTACATGAGTAGCTCAACTTTGGATTTAATGACTGTGCCTAAGCCTCACTAAGTGATATTCAGAGGCAGAGCAGCCACAGAGGATGTCTTGTGGAGACAATCCAATAATGACTTTTTGGATTTATTCTGCCACTGGATCTACAGCATATAAGGAGCCTGCTGGCTTTCTCCAGACCATGGACAATAAAATGATACACAGTGCTTGGAAAAACTCTCACTCTTTCACACCAAAGGGACATTATGCACTTTGCAGACATGAGTCACAAAGCTCCTTGGAGCGATTGTGCACAGGACTCCGTGGGAGCAGCCCCACAGTTTGGGGCCAGTCCCTCTCATTTCAGGGGACTCATTTTGCCACTGATGTGATTTGATATGCCTCAGCTCTCTGCTGAGCTGCTCTAGTAGAGCTCCCTGGGCTGTTCAAGCTTTGTATTTTTCTGCAGCCTCCCTGGTGTGTGAACTGCATTTGTTTACTTTGAACCCCAAGGCCCACATAAACATCTCTAAACTATTTTACTGCAAATGGAAAAGCAGCTCTGTTATTTGTTGCTAAATGTATATGGAGATCAATAAAGTATATGAGGGGAGAAATGGTTGAACATATTCATGGAAAATTCATAAATTAATTTATTCAACTAAGATGTGGGAAATTACTGCAGAGTGTGTTTTGGTTAAAGTGTTCCCCTGAGAATCCACTACTCGTATAATGATTCCCTCTTTATTGTCAGTGAATCTATAGCAATGTGTTTTGCATAAGCATTCACATTTGAGGGAGAAAGAAATAGCTACATAAAATTTATTCCTAGCTATTTTATTCTTGTCTGTTAGTCTCCAGCCTCCAGTCCCTGCTAGAGGAGAATCTAGATATTTTTTTTCTTTAATGATACAATAAAACAGTGAATCTCTGCCTTTATTCTGGCTTTCAACTTCTGGCAGCCAGGTTTTGATCTAACCTGCAAGTAAGTAATCCTGTGAAATAAGTTACTGTGATCTCTTCTGCAAGGGTGTATATTTGAGTACTGAGTGTGTTCATGGACAGCTTGGTACAGCCCAGTGCATTAATGTTGTGAAGAGCTTTGCATCCTGACACAAGCAACTCACGGATTTGCTTAAAATGCAGCCAGGTACAGCAGCACATCCCAGCCCTGCTGGCACCTTTCAGTGGCAAAGCAGTGTAATTGAGATGTAGCTGTCCCTGGGGGCCTGGGACATGCTGTGTGCCCAGCACTGCTCCTGCTCATCGGGCACAGAGAGCACAGACACAGCACTCGCAGTATCCTGGGCAATCTCACAGCCTCCACAACAAACTCCAGGGAAGGGGGTGAGGAGAAGACACTTCACCCAGGGATCCCTCCCTGAGACCCCCATTGGCTCTTAGAGCATCAAATCATAGAGTATCCTGAACTGGAAGGAACTCACAGGGATCATCAAACACCAGCTCCTGATTGATTCACAAGCCAAAAATCTGTAACTGAAAATTTCTTGTAGTCACGCTAATACAGGAGAAAGTGCTAGGTTCCAAACTTCTGCTGCTTCTATCCAATGTAATGTGAATTAAACAGGAGAGTATGTAGGAATTAGCAGAAAATATACATGACAAAGATAAACATGAAGTCTCATTTGAGAAAGAGTGAACACTGAAACAGGAGGTTAAATTTTACAGTATACTAATTAAGCGTTAAACTGAGAGTTTACATCATATTAATGGCACTGTCTCTAAACCTGTTGCTGAACAGTGCTCTTGCCTGGAAGACACTGCATTTTTAGCATCTGACAGCTTTTTACATTTTCACCAAGAATGATTTCAGTGCAGTGTTTGTTTTATGGTTCATCTTTGGTTCACTCACAATATGTCTCTTTGGAACTACACATACAAATAACAAAAGCTCATTATTTTCTACCTTATCTTTTACCCAGTGGCTGCCACAGGCAGAAGCTAAAATTTCCTGAAATTATAGCATGTATATATTTTTAGTCCAGAGTTTCTTGATATCAGTAGTGTTTCCTACCTATCTGTCTCAGCAGATAATTAGAATCCATTGGAATTCAGACACCCCTTTGAGAGAAGTTGTTTGTTTACAAGCTTTAGTGTCGTGCTTGCCATTGCTTCCTTAGCTGGGAGTCTTATCACCATTTTCTTTATAAGCCTCTCCTTCCAGTTTTCATCAGATGGAAAAAAAAATACAGTATTTGGAACACACTCAGATCAAGTGTGGGTTTTTTAAAAAAACTTGTCAAAACAAAAAAAGGTTCAGTATATTTTCTACAAATCCCAAAAGAAATGTCAGATGGTGCTCTTCCATTGCACACTGCCGAACACATACATTAAGTTTTAATGGGAATTCTCCAAACTTTTCAAGCTCTGTAAAACCTGAAATCCTGAAATAAGGATTGAGAGACAGCAGTCAGCCACATGAATTCATGTTCATTAAAGAAACAGAACTAATGTGAAGTCTGGAGCTGAGTCTCAGACTCTGGGCTGAGGACAGGGCTGTGTGGTCCCTTAGCACTTCCCCTCCCTGCCGTGGGTTCTGCTGCCTTTTGCTGCTCTGCACACCAGAGCCCCCCTGTCCTGGGTGCTGGGAAGGAGAGGGGGTGCCCTGGGGCACAGCACCTCAGGGGGCACTGAAAATACGGGCCAAGCTCTGTCCCCAGGGCTGGCCACTCGGGCAAGGCTTTCTGGTGGCACTAGTGGCTATTCCATGGCCAGACTCATTTCTCTGGGCACCCTTCTGCTCACACAGCAAAGCTCCCCACTGCCAGGCTCCTGCCCCGCACATGCCCTGCTCCAGGATGGGACTGGCTCGTGCTGTTGCAGCAAAAATTAAAGGGAGGCTGGTGGAAAAAATAATTATAATAAAAACAAACCATTTTTTCCCCTATGAAAATAGCTACCAGGCGAGCGCACTTAATCTTTGCAATAAAAGCTGTACAAAGATATCTTAAAATCCTGGAGCTCTAATTAGGAGCTATGATCTCCTTATGAGAATACATAGTTGGTGTTGATATTAATGGGAGTTATGCAGGCATACCAGTGGTGGAATAAACGCTAATTAACACAACCAATCTATTGTGTAAATACATATTAAAGCCTTTTAAAAATGTGTGCTAGCTCTAGCTTTGAAGCAGATGTTATAGCTGATAGGCTCA